AAAATTAAAAATGGGATCTAAAATGACAAATAAATGGAAGAACTAAAAATAAGATATGTATGCGAAGTCAATGAGATTTGAAAATCTCGAGATACACAATTTTCTAAGAGATTTTTCTCTTAAAAAATATTTAGGAAAAATATTTTATGCCAAAACTGACTTAAAAGAGCTGTAGAAAATGTAAAAGAAAATTTCCAAATAAAATTCTGGGCCTAGATGTTTCATGAGAATTTTTTTTTCAGAATTTTGAGGAATAAATAGTTCATATGTTATCTATTCAATATTTAACATAACCTAGCAGAAGAGGAACAGTTTTCCAATTTGACTATGAACACTGGTACTAAAAAATTAACAAAAGTAATACAAATATGAAAAACTCTAAAAAATTTATAATTACAGTTGTAAAAATAACTATAAAACTAAAATATGTGCAAATAAAATGATGCAGTACATTTAAACAAGACTATACCATGACTAATTAGAGTTTATTTCAATGACAAATTTGAAAAGCAAAATGTAATAAGATATTCCATGAAATAAAATGCAAGTTATCATAATAGACCAAATTCCTAATAGATTAGAATGATATCTTTAAATGAAAAAGGGTATTTTAAATCAATAGCCAATAGAATATTAATATGAAATATTAAAAACAACTCCATAAAGTAAAAGTCCATCAAAAATGCTATTACCTCTCTATTACTTAATATTATTCTTGGCATTCAAAGCAATTAATATATTAAGGGTGGATGCAGGTGGGTTGCAAAGAGACATATAACTACCAAAAGGGAAGAGAACGCATTATCAACTGAAATGTGACTACACCTGAAAATTCAATAGAGGGAAATTACAAAATTAACCAGCCAAATTACATAGCATCCCTAAATATCACAAAAGGAAAATAGAATGAAAAATATCTCATTCACAAGAGTAAGCAAAAATATTAAATATAATCAAGAAAACATGAAATTGGAAATGTGCAGAATGTGTATTTTAAAGACAAAATATTACTGAGAGACTTAAAATTACCGAATAAATGACTTTGAATGGAGCAATTCAATACTATAAAGATGTCAGTTCATCCTACCATTTTATATAAATGTAAAATAATTTTTTAAAAAATCACTTTGAAATTTTAATTAACAACCTGATAAAATAAATTCAAAGATAAACTTTAAAGACATATGAAAGCACCTTAAAGAAAAATTGAGTGTCATCTTGCAATACTTACTTTTGAAGGATACTAAAGTTACAGTGATTAATATAGCATAGTACTAATAAAAGTTTAGATAGAAAAATCAATGGAATAGAACCAAAATCTGAGAAACGGTTCCAAATATGTAATCTGAGTATAATAAAAGATGTTATTTCAAGTCACAGGAGGTAAGATGGGTTATTTAATAAACAGTACAGATATTTGGTTAACTGCTTGAGAATAAAATTAAGTTATATTTCTAGTTGACATTATTCATCAAAACATATTTAAGATGTATTATATAGTTAAATGTTTAAAAATATAGCCACATAAGAATGAAAATATAGCAGAATATTGTACAATTTCAGGATGAGGAAGCCTTTCTAAACAAATCCCCAATAGAAAAAAAGCACTTAAAAAAAGAATGGAAAGATTGACAACAAAACCAGAAAATAAAACAAATGACAAAATGCAACATATATAACAAATAAAGATTAACACTATTAAAACGTATATTAAGACTTCTTAGATAGCATTGAGAACTGGACAAGTCTTTTAAAGGAAAAATGGGCAACCAATATTAATATGCAGTTCACAAAGGAAGAGATATTTAATTGCAAATAAATGTATATGAAACACCTCATTCTCACTAATAGTCAAAAAACTCATTAAAAGAACAATGATATGTTGTTGTTTTCCCCTATAAAAATGGCAAGAATTTTTTAAATTAACAATACTTGTTATTCAAGGAAAGAGAATAAAAACTTGCAGATACTACTGCTGAGAGCACAAAATACTATGCTCTTTTTGAAGGGTAACTGGCAATATGAATCAAAAGTATTTTTATAAAGAACAAATTCTTTGGCCCAGGAATCTCACTCTTAAGAATATAACCTAAAGAATGACTAATAAGTTGAAAAGTCTTAATAAAAATCTTATCTGTTTTCAAGATAGCCATTTTTTATACCAACAAACAATAAAAACAAATGTTGCATAAAAGTCTCAGTTACATTATGAAAACCTCACTTTATACAATACTTTCTGCCAACAAAAGTAATATTTAGAAGATAATGCAATCTCAGGAAAATTCATAATATATCATTAAATGGGGAAAATAGTTTACAAAAAATTTATAATGGGATGATTCTAATTTTATGGGGAAAAGTTAACATAAGTATGCATAAGTTAAAGCGGAGAAACTATACAATAAGATACAGGTAAAATTAAATGGCAATTTCACTATCTGTGTTTTTCCATGTTTCTTACAAATAAACACATATGAATTTTGTAATCAGAAAAATGTAAGAGCTATCAAAAATACACAATGCTTGAGATATATTAAATACCGATAACCTATGATAGTATGTATTCCTCAAAGATATAATTTTGATCACTTTAAAATTTCAGGATAATGATAAGTAATTTAGGTGGATAATAGCTGGCCTGGTTTCCACTAGAATAAAAATGTATGTTGAGTTTTGGCAGTGGTTTATTTAAACTATTTAAATATTATTTAACTAATTTTTCCATTTTTAAAATAATATATTATTGGTATATTTTCTGTAGAATATATTAGGATATATGAAGAAATTATAATGTAGAATAAAGATAAATTTAATAAGAATCTTATCTTTTATGCCCGTAAGAAACTCTAACATACAAACGAATATTCACATATCACAAAGAATCCAGAAAAACAGGTTAAAGAATTTGAAAAGCCTAATTTTTCATGTGGTTCACTTTTGTGATTTATACATTTTAAGTATCTGAGACTAGTACATTTTTTAAATTTTGAATTCAAAATTAAAATTAAATATAAAGAAAGATAGAAAGTGGGGGAGGAAACATACCATGAAGCACAAAAATTTCATATTGAATAACTAACATAATAAAATGTTAGTTTTCACACTACTAAGAGAAAACAGAATCCTCATCATTCGTGTTGGAAAAAGTTTGCCTTTGTACAAACCATTTCTATTCTCACTGTTATAAAAAGGAATGACTTTGGAAAGGGAAGAAAACACAGAATGACGTGCAAAGTAGCAAACACCATGTTATTGCAGCTGGATAGAGAATATATCACTAATGACTTTCTTTCTACCCATCAATAAGTTGAATTTTTTTTTCCCAAACAGCAAATGGTCTTTACAAGTACAAAACAGAAGCAGGGGAACTCAAAATAATATCCAATTTCCACTGATTTTGATACATAATTAGTTAATGGAATTAGTTATTAATTATTTGCTGGGAGATAAGATGACTTCCTTTTCTCTTTATTTGAGTTGAACATGACATGCCTAAAAACTAGGAAATTTCCTGTAGTAAATTCTAAATAACATTTACATTAGATAATTATTATCAAATTTTCATTTTAACTCAGATATTACCCACAACCAATAGGAAGATTCACCTAAAGTTGTTTGATAAATTTAGAAAACTAATGTAATTAAGTACCCAAATTGTTAGTGCAAATCACAGTGATGACTGTCCATAGGGATGACAGATAGAGTTAATGAGTGATCATGAATTTCATTCATAATGCAAAAAAATTAATACAGCACTTCTTCTCCATAAATGAATCAGCAAGAGTTTGGTTACCAAGCAAAAACTGTAACTCTAGATAAGTTAACTTTAACTTACTATCTGAATGGATTGGGATAGTCCACTTCTTAACAAGTCTAAAAATAATAACATCAATCACATATATTCAAAAGGAAAGATGTTTATTGTCATCTGAGTCAAAGACCACGAAATGCTAAACCTCATGAAATTTCAGGTTTAATCAACATAGGATCCTGTGTGTATATTAACAACCACACAACTTAAACTCTTGAGTACTTTCTTAAGTGCCAGGTACTGTTCTAAGTGTTCTACATGTATTAATTCTCTTAGTGAGCCTATGAAGGAAATACTTTTATTATCCTCATTTTATGGATGAGGATTATAAAACATAGGAAAGGTCAAGTATGGTGGGTCACGCCTGTAATCCCAACACTTTGGGAGGCCGAGGCAGGCAGATCACGAAGTCAAGAGATTGAGACCATCCTGGCCAGCATGCTGAAACCCTGTCTCTACTAAAAATACAAAAATTAACTGAGCATGGTGGAGCACGTGTAGTCCCAAATACTTGAGAAGCTGAGGCAGGAGAATTGCTTGAACTCCGTAGGCAGAGGTTGCAGTGAGCTGAGATCATGCAACTGCACTCCAGCCTGGCGACAGAGCAAGACTCCCTCTCAAAACAAAAACAAAAATAAGACAAAAAAAAAAAAAAAACAGAAAAGTTCGGTGGCTTGTCCAAAGTTACTCATCCAGTGACAGAGCCACAATGTGAATCAAGGTAAACAGGCTTCGGCATCCCCCCATAAACCATTATGTATAGCACATCCTAGAAACATTTTTAAAGGTGCAACAGGAAACCCATTTTGATTAGAGGAAATTCAAAATAATTTGGCTTCATAAATTAAGCTATTATTACAATTTTAAGAGGAAAACCTAAGATTATCTTTAGTGTAATTTACTTATCTTTTCACATAAGGTTTTTATACATTTTTTGTGGTGTAAATTAATGAGGCAGCATATCACATAAGTTATATATTTATAGACTAATACAAAAAGTAAAGAAAATTTTCACTTCATAAACATTGCAAAGAATAAAAGTTCAGAAACGTGAAACACATTCACCCTCTCATGTACAATCAAATGTTAGATATAAAACTTTAGTGTTATGGTACAGAAGATCAGCAAATATATTGTTATGCAAAATAAAATCACTGCATTGACATGTTTGATATATTTTATGGTGTACCTTTAATTTCTCCAAGCAGTTCACTGGTATTTAGTCTTTCCATTTTTTCCTTCCAATCTTTTGAAAGTAGTTTTTCCATGCAGGAGGAATCTATTAAAATACAAAAGTAAGTATTAAAAATATATATTTATTACAAATTTAGAAAGTCAGTTTATGGAGAAATTCTCTCATTTAAGAATGCACAAAGCTGTTTTCTTGCTGTTGCTTTAACCCCAGGATATAGAAAATTACATTATTCTATAATATGTATTATAAAATACCACAACAAAATTTATTTTCACCAGATAATTATTTTCACTATCATCTACGAGAAAAAAGAGAATGCTCAATAATCTTATTTTAGTATTATAATTCTATTAGTATTCAATCAGCATTTGTTATTTCTTAGACTGACAGTATGGAAAAGAGGGCTCTTTCCTATGAATTTAACTTCAGATACTCCTTTTAATCCAGGCAATTTTTTTTTAGGTCCAAGTAAAATGTATGTGCTGTGCAAGAAACAATAAGAGATATTCAGAAGAGAAGAAGCCAGTAAATCTGTAACCACTTAGTTCTTAAAAAAGAAATCTAACTTTTGTAAAATATTCAATTAGAGCCAAACAAGAAGAAAATAAAACTAAAATGTTCTCTGATCCCTAGTGATGAAAACTACTAAATTTTTTCTCTTATACAAAAAGTGACACATATTTTTATTAAATAAATACCTACATAAATGTCATTTATTATTTGCCCTACTGTACTTCTCAATAACATACTAGAATATAGGGAGTAATAACAATTGTTTTTATAAAGATTCATAAAGGTTACAGAAATCCAAACTTTAGAATGTCCTGATAATTACCAAATTTTTCTCAATCAGTTATTTCTGGTCTTTATGTAGATGGACTAACAACTGGGGCTACTGCTTACAACTATTTATTTGTACCATTTAAGCCTCAAATCTTAACAAATAGGTCATGTTTCCAAAAGGGAATGCAGATTTAAATACTAAATCCTTAATGCAAAGCATACTCCCATAAAACTTTAACATTCCAAGTGTCAAAATTCTGATAACTTTCTTTTAAAATTATATTTAAAACAGTTACTCCAATTCTAAATGCCTTTTCTCTCTCATATCAGCACCTACCTCTTTAGCATTTTCCCTTTCATTTTTTCTCTCCAGCTTCTAAATCCTCCTTGAATTTTTCAGAATGACAGTAAGGTCAAGATGGATCTAGGGGGTTTTAGAAGCTAGATAAGCTTCAGAAAAAGACAGTGAGCCCTGGCTAAGAGATGAGAAAACCACTGCATGGTTAGAAAGTATTGGTGAAAACAATTAACATTTGTCTGTGACATGATCAATCAATCAAAGAAGGGACAGAATCCAGATCAGCATGTCGTGAAAACGACTGATGAAGAACAACCATCTGAACTGGCTATCACAGAGCTAAAGTTCTTTCTAGATAGAACACAGCTTGACTTTATTAAATGAAAGCTCCTTGACCATTCCCTTACTTCTCCCCTCCCCTTTTCCTTCCTTCCTATCTTCCTTCTTCTTTCACTCCATTCTTTCCTATTATTTTCTTAGTGTTCAACAAAGGATCTACTACTGTGCTTCAAAATTGCATTCGGAGTAATGTTCCAATGGCGGCTACATACATATGCATATGTCCAGGTTGTATTTAATTGCTGAAATAGTCTCTTACTATTTTTTATTCAAATTCAGAAATGAGATTTATGTTTTGTTCTATACCTAGTTTGTTTTTATGCTAAAGTCATAAAAAAGATAACACTAAGAGCTACAAAGCAATTATTCAAATCCATGCCTGTCACATATTACTTTTTCTCAAATCAGGTTTGAATTTCTGAGAGAGACTGATATAACATTAGATTACGGATAAGAATAATCAGCAAAAAGTTTTCATTTTCATACTCTACCCAAAATTTTTTTTACCCTTTCATACAATATATCAGTGCACTAAGCTGGTAATTACTGATACAGTTACAAAAGCACAACTCGTTTAGCTAAAATTTGAGTTGAGAGCATACATTATAGTAGTCAAAGATAAAAGCACAACTTATTTGTAATAACAGCAAATTTAGAGCAGGTCCATATACTAGGATTAAATGCACACTAGGATGTAAACAGGCTAAAATATGTCTCTCATTTCTATAAATAGACTTGAAATCTTTTAGAGCTCCAAAAAAAGAATGCTAAAACTTCATGGGAGAAAAAGAGAGCTATATGAACAAACAGGAACACATATTTCAAATATAAATCAAATCGTGTGGACACAGCTTTACATAAAAGCTACTCATTAATAAAATGGTTAATAACGTCAAAGCGTTTCACATTCCTATTAGAAAAGTAATCCTTACTGCAATGCTCAGTTAATCTAGCTATATGAGTTCCCATTTCAGTAGAAGAAACTGAGGGAAAAAAATAAAGCAGGCTTTGCATATCTACATTTTCAGCCATGAAAATATTTAATAGCAATCACTGATTGCCTTTAACTATAGGACAATAAAAGTTACTACATACAACTTTATCAATGTTTATTCTCAAGACTAGGAAATTCCAGGAAGACTCAAACCTGTAAGAAGGTCTCTTGACAGATGGCTGCTTTCTACCCCATTATCTGACTGCCAAACCTTTAGGGGCACACCATCATTGGTGCTAAGCACTCTCCATGTAATAATGTAAAGCAAGTAGGATGACAGAAAAAAGCCTGAAAGAAGTGGATTGTTACTAAGCACTGTACAAGCAGAGGACACTACTGTCACTACCAAAAGAGTTCCTGATTTGAAATGAGGAAATATGTAATAGATACCAAGTAACAAATAAAATCTATATTTTCAAATTTCTATCTGAAAACAATATCCAGGTAAGGTTACAAATTAAAAGTAGCACTATGCTAAAGTCGTATTGAAACAGAAAATGCCAAAATTAATTCCTCTTTGAAAGAATCTGTTTCTATTAACCAATATTTATTCAATGAAATGCAGGACTTTATCTTCTCTAATTTTTACAAATAATATTGATGAAAAGGGTACTATCAAAAAATCAAGAGCGAGACATCAGTTCTCACCTATATTTTAAGCAAGGATGTAAATGTTTTGATATGTTATAAATTATAAGTTGCATTGTTTCTGCTTTTTTCTTTTCTTTTTCAAATTTATCTCTTTCAAGAAATTTGAGAAAAAAGGAAGATACAATTCAGAACCATTTTGTTTTTTAAATATCTGCATAATAAATTACAAAGCAGTTTCCGCTTCCTAAGTACTTAGGTTTCAGGCCAGGTAAGTCAGGAATGCTTTATCACAGCTGAGTAATGCTTTTGCTAATTAACTTAGTAATTAATTTTATGATGTAAGAAAAATGAAAAGAAAGAGTATGTGAGATATTGATTTCCTAATTGTATGATGATATTTTAGAAACAATTTTAAATTACTTCTACTTAGACAAATTTGCAGCAGTATTAACTCCTATACTGTACAAAGCAAAGTAATTTCAGATAGATCAAAAAATAAATAAATAAATTGTCATTAAAGTTACAACATGGGGAAGAGGAAGAGACAATGTGACAAATGTTTATTGCATTTTATAACAATCTACCTATAAGCAACCACATTATTCCTTTTACCTCAAAGTGATTAGAAATGCTTAGAAATGCTAAAACATTAGAAACATGACGTAAAAGATATCTTCAAAATATTTTAATGAGGAAAACAATCACTGCTGGCTCCATGTACAGATTTTCTATTGCTTTATTAACACTTTGAGAAAATAGTAAAGCCATTCTTTTTATTTTTACCATAAGAATCATAAATTTTGAATGCAATAAATTTTTCTATTTATCCAAGAAAAATGATAACTTATCAAATGTATCCATGACCTTGGTTTACAATTAAACCCAGCAAAATGTATTTATATCCTTAAGGATTATCCATCCCACATTTTTCATTAGGAAACACAGAGTTGCACATGCCAGTTACTGTACATTTTTCCACAGTGGCAAGTGCTCCACAATACAGTGGGATAAAATTGGAACTTGGAGAGCTTGAAGAGCACTCTTAAATTTTAATTAAAACCCTCCAAGCTCACTAAAAATAATTAGACACTAAAATGTGCCAGTTTTATTTTGAAGTCACTATAACGTACAAAGCACACTCCCTGATGACTGCTCATGCTCTTCCTCTCTCCCCCTCTCTCCCTCTCTCTCCAATGAAACAACTGATTTTCCAAATAAGAACAAGGGGGTATAAATAGAGGCTGTTTTCAGGCCTGCTCTTCACGCTGGGGAAGCTGACAGAAAAGACAGCGGAGTGGGTTTTTCAGACTACACCAAATAAACCTAGAATAACTTCCCCAACCAAGAGTACGAATCACTAACAAACTCTAGATAAAATTCAGTCTGCAAGTAACACCACGAGTTATATCACTGATCTTTTTTGATCCAAAAGTCAAACCTTTCACCTCTTAAATGTTTTTGCTATCTTAAAATATCTCATACAATGCTATATCCCATACTATTTTTAGCCAAGCAGCAAGAGAAAGCATGCCTTTCCCATACAGCACGGAAATGATATAAACATCAACACAGATGCTCTGCCAGGAAGAGCTGGACTTCTCAAGCACTTGATCATTAAGGAATGCACCAACTGTTTTGGATAATCTCGTGCCAGCTCCCCTTTTGCTCCACACTCCCCTCTGGGAGTGGCCAATCTTGTCCTGGTCCTAATTTTTCATTTTACTCCTCCATAGCCCCCCTCCCCCATTACCAAAAAGATGAGAAATGGCATTTATGCCTAGCAATGAAAAAGCAGGCTCACTTCCCCAAACAGACCAAAACTTTAAAACAATTAACCCTCCCCTCTTCTTTCAGATAAATTACTAAGTATAAAATGCAATCTGTTTCCTTTGTTTACTCAATATGAACAATTTGTAAATGACTCAAGGATAAAATTCAGAAAATGTTGTGCTAAATTAGAACCATTATAAACATGCTAATGACTCAATGCTTGAGTAAAACATGCATGATCGGTGTGAAAAAAAAATGGATTTAGTTCCTGTGAAAATTCTGTTGTGCTGCCTTAAAACGATTTGGTCA